TAACTTAGGGAGGGTGAAGTGGCCCAAGGGTTTAAAGCAGCCACCAAAACTAACAGAGAAAGCAATGATGGTCTCCAACAGGACCATTTCTTCTTGGTACCAAGCTCCACTTGCTGAACTGAAACAAGGCCAGAAAGACATTTATTCATGGAAGCAAGACTAATGAAGATACTGGAGTTTGGTCTTGTTGGCAGAACACAGATTCCTATAGCCACAGGTACTCCATGACCTTGGCGTCAATATTACATGAGCTCATTCTCCTCTCTCCAGCACTGAAGAGTTGAGCATGGTATTTGGCAGCATTAACTATTCTTCATCATGCCTAAGAACTCACGATTCCTGGCTTTGAATTCCAATAAGCAGCGTGGGGGAATCCGCCTGGAGATTCACTTGCCTTTGTGAAGAAGAAAGAAACTACAGTCCTTGGTGTTCTCAGCCCATTCTTCCTTCAGGCAGTCTGACATCCCCCATCCCCAGCACTCTCCCATCCCCCCTCAGGCAGTCTGATGCTCTTAGGAAGTGATTATACATGAGTTGCTAGGATTGCTAGCTGATGCCTGTCATGTTCATCTTTAAAATAATAGGCATAGTTTCCCCATCTTTACTAGTACCTAGGCTGTGTGACATCTTTAATTACTAGAGCCATCTTCACCAAGTGTCTGTGTGTTGACAAATACCTCAGACTCATCCATGTCTTTGAAGTCTAAGTGATGACAGGCAAGGATGAACATCAGAGCTGTCAAGTTCAGGGAAGGAGGGAGCCCAAGGTCGCTCTGTGTGTGCAGGCTCTCACACCTGGAGAAGCTGCTACAGTCAGGCTCACAAGAAGAATCGAGAGGGCTGCGCTTAGAGTCCTTCTTCTGTATACCATGTGTCCTAGCATAGCTTAGCATCATTCCCCTGAATATGTCATATGCCCTAGCAGAGCTCACTAATGAGACTGGGGAAGGAGTCCAGTGGTGCTTTCTTCTGTTCACAAGGCAGAAGGTGTCCCAAATCCATCTTGCCAACAGTATGGAGTGGGCAGTATCAACAGATGTGAGGCTATTTCTCTTCCCTTTAATCATCATTATTGATTACTCTTTTACCAGGAGCATCTCAAAAATCAGGATCTTAAACATAGCAGATGGGTTTGTCAGCTCCCAAGGAGGGAGCTCTGTTGATAAAATTCTTTGGTATACATTCCATTTTGTTTTTGTTGCTGTAACATATACCTAGGTGAAAAGCAACATAGGGAGGAAAGGGCTTATTTGGCTCATAACTCCAAGTTAATATCCATCATTTTGGGGAATTTCAGGGCAGGAACTCAAGCTGCTAGTCATGTCACACCCATAGGCAAGAGCAAAGAGAATAAACTCATCTTTCATAGTTTGCTTTGCTCTTAGACAGTTCAGAGCTCAGCCTAGGGAATGGTGCCACCCACACTGGGCTGGGCCTTCCTACACCCATGAATAATCAAGATAACCTCCTACAGACATGCCCACAGGCTAACCTAGACTAGGCAACTCCCCATTAAGACTCTCCAGGAGATTCTAGGTTGAGTCAAGTTGACAATGACAAGTAACTGACATGGCACACAAGCATAAGGACCTGGGTTCACTTCTACAGAGACCCCATAAAAAATGTTAGGCATGGTGGCTCATGTTTGAGATCTTGGTGCTGAGGAGGCAGAAGGATCTCTGGAGTTGACTGGCTGGTCAGCCAGGCCTACTTGGCAAGCTTCTGACCAGTGTCTCAAAAAGCAAGATAAAGCATTCCCAAGGAACAATATTCAAGCCTGGCTTCTCATTGACACACATGTACACTTACCTCAATGCCCAGGGTCTCAAACAGTATGAGTGTTTCTAGCTACTGGCACAAATACTGTTATTCCTAGAAGTTTTGATTGACAAGCACTCAGTGTAAGCTAACAGAATTAAAATCTTATGCTGACTACAATATAACATTTTGGTGTGAAGCCACCCTTTTCCCTTTCTTCCTGCCAAGTAGCTCTTAAAAACCCTTAAACTTTTGAAGAGCAGTCTTATAGATCAACTGAAATTTCTTATGGTCATATTGATTTTTTACAATCAGGGTCTTTAAATCTGGGGCATTTTAAAATTCACCTGGGAAACTTAAAAATATTCTCTAGGGCTCCACAGTGCTTCTACGTGTAACTTGTAAACTTGTACCCCTTGGAAGTGGGGAGATGTTGAAATCTCTCACTGTAAAAGAGAGAAGACTTGAACACATTAGAAGGTGTGCATGAAAATTGTGACAGCAGCAGGTGCTGGTGTGTCAATGTTCTGTATTTTATTTCCCTGATCTACGTGGTTTTTTTTTTTTTTAATTTTTTAAAGAGAATTTTGTACGTGAGTACTGTATTTCCACAATTTCCACCACATTCTCTTCCCCTTCTCCTCCTCCTACGTCCCCTGAGTGCTGGGCTGGAAGCATACACTCCTAGGCAACACTAAATGCACTCAGCAGGATGTCTCCATAAAGCACACATGTGTGACAATGGTATTAAAGGAGGAGAGGTACATGTTGGTCTTAATGCTGGTGCCATGTTTACAAATTTATGTTGAAATAATGATAGACGATTAGGAAGTGTTCCAAACTGGATGTTTCACATGTGATCCAATGGCAACAGTTCACATACCTACATTGAATGGCAACAATTTACATAACTGTATTGGTACCAAAAGCAGAACACAGCAGCCTGGAGACAACTTAGAGCTTAAGAGAGCACATTGCTCTTTCAGAGGACCCCAGCACTTACACCGGGTACTCACAATTGCTCCAAGGGATCCAGTGTCCTCTTTTGGCCTCTATGGGCACCTATATTCAAGTGAACACACCCACAAGAAAATGTACAAACATACACATAATTTTTGAAAATTAAATATGTTTTTAAAGGAAGGAAACAAACATCAGTGTTATCCTCAGGATAACACTCTCATTTCTAAAGCACACATTGAAGTGTGTATAGTTCCATGCAATGCCACCCCGTGTGCAGCTTCTTGTAATATCACCACTGTCTAGACACAGGCATGCTCTTCTGTCATGAGCTTCTCTTGCAATACTTTCTATAGGCCACACTTCCATTTGTAACCTCTGGCAAGCACTGTGATTTTGTTCTCTTAAGAATATTCAGAATGCTGTGGAACCCTGATATAATTAACTTTTGGAAACTCCCCTCCATTCATTCTAATTCCTCTGAGATCAATTCAAATTCCTGTGTTTATCATTCATTTTTTTTAAATTACTGAACAGCAGTACTTACTGTACAAATCCATTTCACCTGTCATTCATCTGTGGCCATCTGGGTTGCTCCCAATGCTTGACAAATATCATTGAAATGGCTGTGACTATCCTGATTCCTACGGTTGCTTGCTTGTATGGTAACTGTCTGCTTAGGTTTAAATGAAACTGAGAGACCAGTTCCTGTTAACCCTTTCTGTGTGCCCTACAGCAGTGCAACGGAGATCAGAAGCTGATTTTACACACAAGTGTTTCCCTGAACAGACATTTATCAAAGAAAGATGTACAAGTTAGCACCCTCTTTGGCTTCACCATCCTCACTATGTGCTTGGTGTTTCCACCATGTTCCATGTTAGCCATTCTGAGTGTGTGTGTGTGTGTATGTGTGTGTAGGTACTCAATTTAAGTGTGTATACATGTATGTGCATGTGTATATTTAATGTGTGTGAGTGCTGAAGTGTGTGTATGTATGTACATATCGTGTGTGTGTGTGTGTGTGTGTAGGTACTCAATTTAAGTGTGTATACATGTATGTGCATGTGTATATTTAATGTGTGTGAGTGCTGAAGTGTGTGTATGTATGTACATATCGTGTGTGTGTGTGTATGTGTGTGTAGGTACTCAATTTAAGTGTGTAAACATGTATGTGCATGTGTATATTTAATGTGTGTGAGTGCTGAAGTGTGTGTATGTATGTACATATCGTGTGTGTGTGTGTGTGTGTGTGTGTGTGTATGTGTGCATGTGTTGCATGTGCACACACAGGGGCCAGAAGATGCATCAGATCCATTGGTGATGTAGTTACATTCTTTTTCCTTATCCTTGTACATCTCCTGTATGAGTGCTGAGTACTGGAAGATGAATTCCAGTCCTCCTAATAAAGCAGCCAGCAAGAGATGCGTGTGTCTGTATGTGTACACAAGCACAGTGCTCACAGAGGCCAGAAGGTGTCGGGCTCTCTTTGGAGCTGGAGGCACAGGTAGTTGCCAGTTACCCAGTATTTCAAGAGACCTCAAGTGGGCAGAATGGACATATCAAAGCTTTCGGTTCATATAAAATGATTCTCTGTGCTCATGGGCCACACTTGAAATATAGTACTTAACACACGGCTCACCCCAAAGAAGTATGAATGCAAGTCCAGCTTTAGCTCCACAGGTTAGAGAAGGCCAGCCTTTGCTTAAGGAAAAATTTCCACGGGAAGCATAAAGTCATGCAAACAAATATGCTGACGTCTTCCAACAGCTGGAAGGGCTCATTCTGGGAGTGAACACAGCGGGGAACAATCCGAGCTGGGAGAAGTGATTGGCGTGCCGACATGCCACCACCTAGGAACTGCAGCAGGGAACAATTACATCGCTCAGAGAGCACTTCACAATCGGAAGGGAGAGAATTATCTCAGCGCTGAAACATTTCACAGCTGTGCTCCCAGACGAACCTGGAAATGCACATTATAGGAACTGGAAACAAAAGGGCCTATTATTTTGTCTCCTTTTAGGTAAGTGGTAAAGTACTGGGAGGTGGCGGAGCAGAGCGTTCTAAAGGACAACCCTGTTGTCTTGTCAGCACCTAGGTCTTGCTGGCTGTCAGAGCTAAAAGTGTAGCTCTCTCCCCACAAGGCAAGGTGGCTGTGTGGTCGTAGGGTAGACTCACTCTCATCCCTCTTTTCCTATATGCACAGTGATCTGATGCTGGGCTCAGAGTGTTTCAAGCATTTATTGACAGAGACTGAAAGAGAAACCTCGGGTGTTAGTCCTCACCTTCCACCTTGTTTGAGGCAGCATCTGCTGCTGAGCCACGGAATTCTGGGGGTTCTTCTTTGTCCACCTTCATCACACCACAAGAGGTCTGGGATTATGGACAGGAACCACCACATCCAGCTTTATGTGGCTTCTAGGGATCCGAACTCAAGCCTTCATGCTTACCTGCAAGCTCTTTACTCACTGAGCCCCCTCAGCCCCTCCCCCCCACCAGCCACTGTATTTGCTCTGCCTATGGCTTGGGTCACTTAATGCTGTCCATGGCCAGGAGAATTAGATGTATGCCTGAGTGTCTGTATGGCACATTAATGTGTCACAGTACAGTGCCTGGTTCCCGAGCCCCACCCCTTACAGAATGCTCTAGGTCCTAGAGTCTAGGGTGTCTAGATGCTTCTTGGACTGGAGAATCCTTTTTGCAAGTATGTAGTTTTTAGCTGAGGCATTTCATTGAGGAGTTGCCTGTGTCTAGAGCCTGCTTCAGTGAGATCTTAAGGCTGGGTGGGCGGGCTGTGTCTTGCTTAGGTAACTAAGTTATACCTGGAGCACAGGACAGATTTGAAGCCTTGGGAGACTACCTTCAATGCTTTGGGTATTGGTTTCAAAAGTCAGTGAATTATTATCTGGGGATAGAAGAGGTTAAACATCCGGGTGACCAAGGTTGCATTGTTATCTAGTACAGGAAAAAAAGTCATAATAAAAGCAAAGTCCTACTTTATTAACCAATACCAGGGAAGGTTGTCCTGGGGATTAGCATCACATTAGAGGAGATTTGCTCTTTATTTTGCTGGCACCAGACCATTCTGTGATTTGATCCAGAAAAAGAGCCAGATAGTCAGAATGCTGAAAACTTTGAGCCAAGAATATCCTAGGAACCTTTTCCAATGCTGTAAGATGCATTGCTGGCAGGGACACCTCCTTCATGCAAATGCACACCAGTGATCCTCGAGGCTGCTTGTATAGAAAGTTCTCATGGGGCAGAGAGATGGCTTGCTCTACAAGCGCAAAGACCTGAGTTGGATCCCCAGAAGCCACGTTAAAAGGCCAGGTGTGGTGGCAAACACTTGCAATTCCAGCAGTGAGGGGCAGGAGCAGGAGGATTCATTCCTTGGATTCACTCGCCAGTCAGAATAGCTCAAGAGGTGAACCGTAGTGTAAAAGCTGACTGCATGAAAATAAAACAAGATAGATGGTCCCTAAGGAAGGATACTCGGGGTGGTCCTCTGATTTTGACATGTCTGCTCACACACATGGAAGTTCTCACTTACAGGAAGGCCCCATGCTGTCTGAGAAGCTGGCAGTATACCCTTAGACAATAATCATTAATCAAATGTGCTCAAGCCTGTGTGGCAACCATGAATAGGTTCTAAGGGGTTGCAGAGCTTCCTAAAAGATGAATGAGCAGTCTCAGAGCTGCTACTGGGAACCTTGCTGCCATTTGGGGCTCACCAGGAAAGCAGATATTGTTCTAAAAAGTGTGCATGCTTAGGAGCCAATGAGAGGGTGTGGCTACTCTTCAAGAGGACTAGGCTTCGGTTCCCAGCTCCCACTGGGCAGCTCACAGCAGTTTGTAACTACGGTGACATGGGACCTGACATCCTTTTCTGACCTTGGGCACCAGCTATGTATGTGGTGCACGTGTATACATGCAAGCCAGGCACTCTCAACCATGCAGATGTGCTTCTGGTTAAAAACCGGAAGGGGCATGTTTATTTCTCCTTTGGAGCAATCTGAACATTGTTTGAGGCTTTCAGAGTCCAAAGATGTTAAGGAGTCTGGGGAAGATATGGCTGCAGCAACCTGGAACCACAGGGTGTTTTACACCAAGCTGGAAGATGCACCTTGTGGCGCCAGATTCTGCACTAGTTAAAGAATGTAACTAACCCTCATATCCTCCTCTTAGACTTCTGCATTAGTCACTTTTACTAATACAACATTCATCTCCCTCTTTTTAGCATAAGAAGGTGCATGTCTTGGGTTAAGACTTCCAAGCCGACACTGGGTCTCCCTCCCATAAGCTTTCTTGACCATGGGTTCCCCCGTTCATGGAAGCTTTTCTGGTTCACATCCTTCACCATTTCATGAAACTGAACCCTCTGTGGCCTTTTCACCCATCCCTGCAGGCAGGACAGAAAATGGCTTCCTCCAATTCATTGAGTCTAAGACACATGATTCTTGTTGCACAATGTGCACTGTGCAGTTCTACACCGCTACCTGCACACCTGGGAAGACTCTCCCACCACTCCGAAGGTGAGACCCTGTCCTGCATCACTCCGCCCCACCTGGACACATTGCGCCTTCCTCTAGAATCCTTGTTAGTGACCTTGAAACCATGCCACCTCGTCACCTGTCTGTTTACCACAGCAAATCCTAAAACCAGACCACCCCTCCAGATGTAACCTCTTTCCTCCATGAACTAACAGCTCCTTCACTCTCTGCAATGCCAGGACCCCTCCCTCCCTTTCTCTGAGTCTTCTTCCGGCTCTGGGAAGCCAGTACTTCCCTCATATACATGACCCACATTTGACATAATTAGCGTTCTCTCACCCCTTTAGAGGTCCACACTCTGATTGGCCAAACCAGAAATCTGGTCAAGGAGCACCACCGACCTTGTGGAGGCCTCCCTCACTGGAGATCACAAAGCTTGATGTTTCTTATGGTGCTGAAATGCACACTAGACAAGTCCTCCACCCCTGCACTGCAGTCCTCCACCCCTGCACTAGAGTCCTCCGCCCCTGCACTGGAGTCCTCCACCCCTACACTGCAGCCCTTCACCCCTGCACTGCAGTCCTCCACCTCTGCACTGCAGTCCTCCACCCCTGCACTGCAGCCCTCCACCCCTGCACTGCAACCCTACACCCCTGCACTGCAGTCCTCCACCCCTGCACTGCAGTCCTCCACCTCTGCACTGCAGCCCTCCACCCCTGCACGGCAACCCTACACCCCTGCACTGCAGTCCTCCACCCCTGCACTGGAGTCCTCCACCCCTACACTGCAGCCCTCCACCCCTGCACTGCAGTCCTCCACCCCTGCACTGCAGCACAGCCATTTTGCTTAACATTTTCTGGGTGCCATTTGTCTTCTTTAGCTTGAGGATCGCCTGTCTTCTGGCTGGCATCCGACACGTTCAAGCCTTCTCATACCTGCTCACCACACTGAGAAAAGGTGACTGCTGAGTGCTCAGCCCTAATGGGTCATCTGAACTTCACCTCCAGGGCACAGGGACCATCAAGGGATGGAAAGAACTTAAGCACCTAGGAAGTGTGCAGAATGCTGTCTTCTGGCTTACTGTGACCGATGCACTTGTAAACTCACAACAGTAGTGTGCACAGACCTACACAAGAGAGGGCCCCATCACAAAATCACCCAGAGCCAGACACACTGCCCAGAGTTGTCACAGCTTCCTGCCTTGGCGGAGCTTGAAGGAACCTGTCATGTGACCTCTTTGATGCCTGCTGGCCTCTCTAAGCCACAGCCTTCTGCCTTCACATCGTCTGGCTGCCCAAATGTCCCCATGCCCCTCACCTCACCACCACAACTCCCACTAAGCTTTGAGGTTCTCCTCAGCCACCAGGTCATCCTGGAGCGGTGTGCCTCCTCTGTCTGTCTCTCGGTGTCTATCTATGGCTCCTCTGTCTGTCTCTCGGTGTCTATCTATGGCTCCTCTGTCTGTCTCTCGGTGTCTATCTATGCCTCCTCTGTCTGTCTCTCGGTGTCTATCTATGCCTCCTACTCTGTCTCTCAGTGTCTTTCTGCTTCAACAGGAATGATGAGGCTCTGAAGAACTTTCCACATACTCCCTCCATCTTGAGGAGAGGGACGCCCTGAGAGACTGATGAAGCTGTAGCACCAATGAGGTGATAGATTCTTCTTCCTGAATCTCAAGAATCCGGACTGTGATGACTGCGAGAGCCCGCTGGACACAAAGGCATGTGCCCTGCGTTTGGGAAGAGTGGGAATCAGTCACTATTGCGACCCCACAAACTGGCCACTGGCAGAAATGACCCCATTATGTGACTTCATTGAGACCCATTACCTGAATGAGCCGGGGAAAGCCATCAAAGAACTGGGTGACCTACCCAACGTGTGAAACTCGGCAGTCCCCGTTTTTGGCATGTCGGGATATCTCTTTGACAAGGGACACAGTAATAATGAGAGCTAAGCTGGCTACCCTGAAGCCAAAGTGACTTCTCTGGTCATCAATGCAGCACAGGCGTGTGGGGCTGCCTTTACTGTTTCTGTAAGTCACATCACAACAACTGCTTAAGCTCTTTAACCTGTGCCGTACCTTCAAACAAAGAAGTCTGGTTTCTCCCCCATCCAGTTACCCCTGTATCCCCTGATCATGGAGTGACAGCATTCTGCTGGTCCTGCTCCATCCACCTCCTGGCAACAAATGAGACAGAGGAAGCTTCTGCCCCTAAGGTTCCTAAGATTTGTTTTTATTTTGTTTATCTTTTGGTGGTAGGTCACTGTGGCTCACACTACCGAGTAGAGAAAGGGCCATATCGCATGTGAAGCTATGCCAGGTGTGGTAGTTTGAATGTAATTGTCCCTGATAAACCCTAGGGACCGGCACTACGGGGAGGCGTGGCCTTGTTGGAGGAAGTGTGTCACTGTGGAGTGGGCTTTGAGGTCTCAGTATGCTCAAGCCATGCCCAGGAAATCAGTTCACCTTCACTTGCCTGTGAGTAGAGATGGAAGAGCTCTTAGTCAGTTACCTCCACAGCATCATGTCTGCCTGCACGCACCACGCAAACCTCCAGAACGGTACGCCACTGCCTCAATGAAATGTTTTCCTTTATAAGAGTCACTGTGGTATGGTGTCTCTTCACCACAATAGAAACCTGAACCAAAACAGCAGGAAACCTATGGCAATCCCAGAGAGGGAGGGAAGGCATCATTTGAAACACTAGAAAGTGTTTCTGCTGCCCAGGCCCCTTCTCACACATTACTGGAGCCACCTGAGACCTGGGGCCTGGAAAGAAACTTGACCTGTAATGTAACCTTAATGCTGTCAGTGAGAGAAGCTGGCATGTTTCAGGCTTCGAGGGCCAGATGTAAAACCCTCCCTGC